GAAAGAGAACCTCATGACCACCCCATTCTCGTCACAAAATTCGACGAACTTTTAGCAATCAAACTGCTTCCCATGATCAGTGATGAGGGATTCCGGGGGTCCAAATCTCGCAAAGATGTTTTTTCTTTTGAACTTCCGCACTTGCACTTCGGTGATGGACGCCAATGGCTCTACTTCAATCCACTTGGTGAAGTAATCTACCACAACAATTAAGTACTTAAGCTGCCCAGGCACCTTGGGAAATGGCCCCAAAAGATCCATGCCCCATTGGGCGAATGGCCAGGTGCCTACGTTCACTTGCATGGGTGCCGCCTGGATATGTATGTCATTGGCGTGAATTTGGCATTGGTGGCACGCGGCCACGTGTCTCCCATCATCAGCTCGCATTGTTGGCCAATAATACCCTTGTCAGAGCAGGACTTTCTCCAGGCTACGAGAGCCTATATGCATTCCACAAGTCCCTTGATGTACTTCGGTGATCGCCCTTTGCCCTTCAGTATCAGTGAGGCACCGCAAGTAGGCGCCTGAATGTGACCTTTTGTATAGCACTCCGTCCACTATAGTGCACTGGGCTGACTTCCGACGTAAGCGCCAAGCCTCCTTTGGGTCTTCCGGTACTATGCCTTGCGTGAGGAAAAACACAATAGGGGCCATCCATCCTTCCATTGCTCCTATGGAAAGAGATGCCATTACCATTTCCTCATGCGGAGCCTCTTTTGTGACAATCACTGTCCTATCTTCCCCAAAATCCAACGCAGTGGCCAACTTAGATACGACATCCGCATGAGAGTTCTCCTCCCTTTGGGACATGTGTGAATGTCACTTCACGAAACCAGGCGCGTTTCTTCCAAACTGAGTGGACATAGGCTCCCAGTGCCTCCTCCTTCACCTCATAAACCTCGTTTAACTGATCAAACACTAGTGCCTAATCAGTTCTGGTATTGACTTTTTGAGCACCTGACTCGCTTGCATTGTTCGTCTTGGGAGTCGCGAAGAGTAATGCAACTTTATACATGGCGCCCAATGGGCTAATGAGGACGATACCTTCCCCCTCACCCGCTCGGCTTGCTACTCCATCCACATGCACTTGCCAACACTCTTCCGCAACAACTTCTACATCAACAACCCCTTCACCCACGAAATCAGCCAACAACTGAGCCTTAATGGCAGGCCTGGACACATAGCTTAAGTCGAACTCGCTGAGTTGGACAGCCCACTTCACCAGGCACCCAGACACATCCATGGACCCCAAGACCGTTCTGAGAGGAAGGTTTGTGAGCACCACAATACTATGAGCCTGAAAATAGGGTTGGAGCTTGTTCGCAGCCATGACCACCGCCAGCGCCGCCTTTTTAATTTCTATGGGTGTGTATCGCGTATAATGACCTACCATGGTGCGGCTGGCGTAATATATCGACCTCTCTTCATTTTTCAATGGGTCTTTGGATATGAGAACCGCGCTTACGGCGATATGAGACACGGCGATGTACAAGTACAATGTTTCCTTGGCCTTGGGCGCGGTCATCACCGTAGGCGCCGTGAGCAACGTCTTCATATCCTCAAGAGCTTTGTCACATTCTTCTGTCCACTTAAATTTGGAGGCTTTCTTCAAAACCTTGAAAAAGGGGCGCCTCTGTCTAACGCTTTAGGAATGAAGCTCCCAAGTGCCGCTAACCTCCCCGTCAATCCTTGCACCTCCTTCGATTTTCGAGGGGGCGCTATGTTCATAATTGCCTCGAAAACCATGTCATGTACCTAGCCTCCTCTACGAATCCCGCCTCGAGAAGCCTATCAACTTCACGACGGAGAGTCTCTTCCTTCTCGAGCGTCAAGTTTCATCGTTTTTGTTGGACTGGCCTCTTGCCTTCCTCGACGGCCAGCCTGTGCGCCGGTGTTTCCAGGGACACACCGGGCATATCTTGCGCACTTCATGAAAATAACTCCCCATACTCTTGGAGCAACTCTACTAAGGGCGCCCTCAAGTCCTCAGGAGCTTGCGCCAAAATTCACACTTGCCGGTCTGAGTGCCCTTCATCAACTGCTACGACCAACTCTTCGTCAATGGGTTCATCCTTGGGCGCCTCCTCGGGCGAATGTCTATGTTGTTCACTCTATTCCTTCAGATGCTGCCCCTCGGTTTCTCCTCTCGTGCATAGCGGGGAGCACTTCCCCCTCTTGAGATTCCTATCCCTTATGGTGCCACGAATTTTAACGTTTGGTGACAGGTGGAGGCCACCCCATTGAACAATGCACTTTATCACCCAGCGTCACGGGAAGACGTACTCGTCCGATTACTTGTGTTGGTTCCCTTGAGAAACCTATCAGCACGGAGCTTGAGGGACTCACCAATTCAGGCTCTAATTGCATGCGCTCGAATATGCTCTTAAACAGGACGTCCACCGAACTTTCGGTGTCCACAAGCATCCTCTTCACCTTGTACCCTGCAATCACACCTTGTATCTCCAAGGCTTCTTCAGACGGGATTTGGCACGCCTCGTTCGGCCCCTGGTTGAAGTGTATTTGCACCGTCGCCTTTGCCTCCGAGGACACGGCTCTCAGGCACCTGGATCTATCCAATTTGTCTCGAAGGTCGATGGTGCCGGTGATGGACTCCACCGTGAGTCTACGGTTTGGTTCTCCTTCTTGGTTCACCTCAAATGGTGGTGGGGGTATCTCAGGCACTTGTTGAATGACCGGCACCACGGGCGTCTGTTTTGTCTCCCTTGCCACATAGGTGCGGTGAGTCCTCTCTTTCGCCCTCTTCACAAAGTCATTGAGCATTCCTCTGTCGCCTAAGGTTTGCAACTCCGCCTTCAGTTGTTAGCAATCATTCGTGTGATGCCCTTTGTCTCAATTGAATTCACAATATCGGTCAAGATTTCGTTCATTCGGTTGCCCCCGCATTGGTCCTGGCCAACGCACGTGATACCCTATTTCTTTCACGTATTGCATGATTTTTATCAGCGTATCGTTATACTCTGTGAAGTTCCCCACGCTCCTTGGTGGCGGGCCCTGCGCCTCCGTTCTCCTCTGCAGAATATTGTTCCCGATCATGGGTCAAGGCGTCTGTCGCACATCAACCTCCTCCCCTCTTAGGCGCCTCTTTTCTATCCTTCTTGCAGCCAATGTTTCCTCCAACATGATTACCTTCTGCAACCTCCTATCCAAATCTTCAGTAGAGACCACAGCCCTCTTCGAGAGCACACAACACAGTTCTTCTCTACACGTGCACTCCTCAAGGAAAAATCCCAATACCGGAGGCTTCACATCCTTGACCGCCATGACGACTGAAATCCATCAATCATAAAAGTCTCTAAGTGTTTCACCATCTCTTTGCTTTCTCATGAACAGGGCGCCTATAGTTAAGGTTTGACGCTTTCGACTTGCGAACTTTGACAAAAATAGTTCGGCAAATTGCTCGAAACAGTCGATGCGCCACTCCTCGATTTGATGGTACCACTCTAGGACAACCCCCACGAATGTTAACGGGAAAACCTTACAGAGTATGGCTTATGAGCTATTGTATAGTTGCATTTTCGTGAAGGAACTGTTGAGTTGATCTTCGGGGTCGGTGACTCCATCATAGCTCGGCAAGGGTGGGATCGTGGTTCCTTCTGGTTCCAACAAAATACTACGCGTCAAGGGCTACCTGACCCAAAACTCTTGAACGTACGCTTAGGCGCCCAAACGTTATGCTCCTCTAGGCTAGACATCGCAAGGTCAGCAGGCGTTCTCCCCGCGTATTGGCGCCCGTGGGGTGCAAGTTCTTCGCTTAGCCCAGCATAATACGGATGTCAATATTGACTGGATTCCGAGTCGTCTACCGCCCTTTCTCGCTTTCTCATGGTTGCACTATAAGCCCTCATATCTTCACTTCGTCCTCCCTCCAACTCCCTTCTTAACGTTGCTATGGCTTTGTCTTAATCGACAATAATTCAAAATAAATCCCTTCTTGACAAGGATCACTCTCCGTGGCTGGGTGCTCATGGCTACTTTCCCCATCTACCTCCATGCTCAACTCATGACTTGATTGGCACTCGTCTTCCCCCTTCTCAAAGTTCTCTGATCTTGGGTTGTCTCCGCTTCCACGTTACTCATTCATTTCCTCAATGCGCTCATTGTCGCCCTTATCTGGTGCACCCACTACAAGATTTTTGGTTTCTTCTGACACCCATGTTTGTCAAAATAGATCTCAACTTCGTCATAATAGGTTTATTGTGGCAAAATATTTTGTCACACTTTTAGTCAAAACTACCTCGTCAAAATAAGTCTGTAATGACAAAATTATTTTTGTGTCACAATAATTTTTTCCTATTTTGACAAAATGGTTGTCGTTATAATATCCACCTATTATGACAGAATGGGTGTGTTAAAATAAGGGTCTATTTTGTCAGAACAGGGGGTATTTTGTGACGATATTCAACACTTTTTTCCCATCTATTTTGACGATATATGTAGTTCTGACGAATAGTTTGTCATCAAATTTTTTCATAATACACGTAGTGTCGGATCTTCGTACTTATTTTGACAAACGAATTTGGTCAAACAGAAGGCAACATTTCCCAATTTTGGTCATTTAGACTTGTAATTTTGACGACCTGTTTGTCAACTTAGAGCCTTATTGTGACAACCGTATGTTAGTCAAGTTAGATGGTTATTACGACAACATTGATAATAACAAAAACATACTTCATTGTCATAACTAACTTCATGTCCAAAAGATGGATATCATTCTTGTTCCACCAACCGTTCATGTCTCGACACTCATAACTTAACTAGAAGCACAGTACTTAAAAACAAAAAAAGCATACCGAAAGTCTACATCAGCCATGCCCAACAAAAGCTAATCTAAGCATCCATAAGCTGCCGGTGGAGACTCCAAGAGCATCACCACAAGTGATGTGTTTCTTGCACAGTTGCAGAAGCGAAGGTAAAACGATTAGACTCTATTATAGGCGCAAAATTCCTAAATGTAAAAACATCTTTCTTATTACCTGAAACTAAATGCTGCCTCCATTGATTTTCGCAGCAAGTGACTTCACATACTCCTTGAGACTATCATGTGATGCTTGCAAGGCATCGATAGTCACCTTATGACCTCGGATCTCTTGTTCCTGTTTTTCGATCTGGTCTTGCTGAGATTTGATTTTATCTTCGAATTCCTGCCTCTGTTTATCTGCATCAGCAAGAGAGGTCTCCAAATGAGCTTCCAGTTCCTTGTCTCTTTCGGAAATGAGGTCTTCCTTTCTAACATAGCTCGGTGCTTTCTGCAGCACCCTGCGAACAATTTCAGCTCCTGACATTGGATTTCCTTGTTCAACTGCCTCTAGATGAATCCTCCTCATTTCCTCCTGCAAGCAACCGTATACATAATAAATACACACCACACAAGGGTATGAACCCTTGGCCTCATTTGAGGAACCAATCAAGATCATTCCTTCACCCAACAAACCCCTAATCATTAATGTATTCAATATACCAACTATCCTCTAATTCACTAGACTCCCTATAATCCTCATGCTACTCATCCACAACGAAAAGAGTGCTTACATAGTTCTGCTCGGGTTGCACATTCACCCAACTGCCATCAAGTTTCTTGTGGGTGTCTGCATAGACCCTTAGCTCTTTGGGATCTTCCTCCACTGCATCAGATGGTTGACTGCTATTCTCCACCTCCCAGAATCATCATTGTTTTCAGTAGTGGCATCGGCAGCTGCATGTTTCGCTTTTTCCTAGTTCAAACCATGAAAAAGTAATTAAATCATTCACAAAGCCCGAAAATAATCATTTTTATGTAATGGATCAGCTACTGAAAATGACTTCTTACAATTTCAAACATCCGTTGGCTGCACGACTTTCCACCAGTAGTATGAGCATATGTCTGCTTACCCTTGTTTTGTTTGTTGGCTACACTCTGCCGCTGCACATCATATCATTTTGAAATGAGATATGACACAAACATGGTGATAATCTAAGAACTGAGTTATTACCTTGAATTCAGCACTTTCAAAATGATCACACAAACGAGTCCAATCATCAATGTTGATGTTTGCAGACAGGACAAGCTAACCTACCTTTAGTACTCCACCCGGACAACATACCATAAGCTGGAAAATCATTTATGGTCCATAACAGCGCAACATGTAACTGAAAAGTTTCATTAGAGTACGCATCATAAGCTTTGACCCCAGGATTCCATAACTCGTTCAGACTCTCAATCACTGGCTCCAAATACACATGTATATTGTTACCCGAGGAGTTCTTCCCTGGTATCAGGACAGTAAGAAAAAGAATAGACTCTTTCATGCAGTACCATGGTGGCAAATTGTAAGGAGTAAGAACAACAGGCCACATGTTGTAGCTCGTACTCATGTTGCCAAACGGATTAAACCCATCACTCAACAATGTTAGCCTGACGTTCCTAGGATCGGAAGCAAACCAAGTATGGTCTGCATCAAAATCTTTCCAAGTCTGTGCATCTGCTGGATGCCTAAGGATATCATCGCCAACACGATTATCCTTGTGCCACCTCATAGCCTTCGCAATATGCTTAGTCATAAACAACCGCAGAAGCCTATCCTTTATAGGGAAATACCTAGCCCTTTTAATGGCAACATCAGACCCTTTACCAGCAAAATATCTATCTGATTGACACTTGGGGCATTTCCTCTCATGTAGAAGATCCCCCCTAAATAAAACACAATCATTCGGGCAAGCATCTATTGTGGTGTAACCAAAACCCAAGTCTTTAATATATTTCTTCACATTATAGTAAGAACTTGGCAAAGACTCACCTTTAGGTAAAGCCTTTTTAATCGTTTCCAAATTCAAGTTGAATGACTTGTCAGAACTATTTGTAATTATTTTGTTGTTCATCAACTTCATAATGAATGACACCTGGAGAAGGTTTCACAACCAGGAAAAAGTGGAGCTTTAGCATCCTTAATCAATCTTGCTAATGTGGGATCAATATCCCCACATCCCTAATGGAGCTTCCAGAATCAGGTCTTTGTGCGACGTTAGCTCTACCTAAGTCATCTAACATGGTAGGAATGTCTGTATCAACAAAAAAATTATCCTCCTCCTCAACATGAGGAGGAGAGCTCGCTGGACCACTACTACCAATCTCAACAGCAGGTTCCCCATGATGAACCCACCGTACGTAATCCGGAACCATTCCATGATTGTAGATATCAGCTATCACTAACTCAATGGTTTTGAAGGAGCAATTGTTGCACCCTCGGCATGGGCACCTAACTCTACCTTGACCATCAAGACATTGCATGGCACATTGTATAAAGGCATCAACACCACGTACATACTGAGGACAGAATCTTTCCTTCAGTTTCAACCACGACCTATCCATTCTCCTAGTGCACTTAAAGTGAACTAACCTGAACAAATGAATGTGCCTTTGCTGCGAATTCCCACTTTCAATGGAACTCCAACAGAAATGCCAAGCTGATGCAGGAGAAGGAGGATTAAAATTAGTAGAACCTGGGAAAAAACAAATGCAAACATGGTTAGTTAGGGTTCCTAGCAGGCTGCTGGACACTCCCCTCACCAGAAACAAAACCCAGATTAGCACAGTAATTATGTCCAACTAATGTTTTCAAACATGGCGATGTTAACAAACAACTAAAGAAGGTTGCAACCTCACAAGACCTAATTACTAACTCACACATTGACAATCAAACAAAAGAGAAGTCGCAGATTTGAATGTCAATTTGGAATGAGTAAGCACTCATAATTCCATAGATTCATGCATTCAGGGGAAGAGAATGAGAGGGGTGCTAACCTTGGGTTCGAATGTCCTCTTTCGTTTATCTAAGGACCTGCTCCAAATATATGAATCTGGACGATTGAGGATCTCGAAAATTGTTGGCGATGCTTCCGCTGGGCATGCAATCAGACAAGGGTCAGGGATTGGAAGTCAATCGCACAATCTGTTTCCTTCCCTCTAGGGACGGAATAGAACATGCAACCCAAGCAAGAAAACCTAACAACTTAAAAACAAACGATAGTTGGATGCATGGATTCTTACATGCGGGACGGCGGTGGATGAGGTCTGCGCGCGGGAATAGAGTGGAGTATGGAGATGATCAATCTAGGGTTTCAGAGTGGGGTTGGGTTAATCTCCTAAAACGAAAGGAAAGAAAGGGGGGAAGAGATCGAGGAGCTAAACTTCAGATTTTTTGGCGGAGAATGAAAAAAAAAAAGAAGCACCCAGAATTCCTTCCATCACCGATTGAGTTTTCTTTTCAGTAGGAGGATTGGAGATATTTCTTCTTCCTTCGCTCCATAAAATCCCGCCATTCGTCGATAATTTCACTTAATTAGTCGATAGGTAAATAACACATATTTTGACTATTCAGCGTTTCGTCATAAGATATTTTGACAAACTACTCGTCACAACCGTATACTATTCTGACTACGTTTATTATGAAAAGTCTTTTGTCATAACAAGATATTCATTCTAACCCGGGAGCACCATATTTTGACAACATACTAATGACGACACGTATTTTGTCATAATAAAACCTTATTTTGACGGAATATTCTGTCAACTCTGATTTTGTCATAATAGGTTATACTATTTTGATAAATAACATGATTGTCATATTAAATATCTTATTATGACAAAACTGTTATGAAAAAAATTATTTTGTCGTAACTAACCAAAATTCTTGTAGTGGCCAATTGTTTGAGCCGAGATCCCGTGAACTCAAAATCGTTATTCCTCCGCACCATGCTACTAGCGGTGGCGCCCAGGGCCTACATGAATGGGCCAACAATGGGCTTGTACTGCCCGTTAGCACTCTGAAGCTTAAGTCAATGGAGTTTCTAGAGAGAGAAGTAGTGTATCGCCTTTAGTGAGAGAAGCCAACCTGCGTAAATGCCACCTACCGAGCACTATTTATAATTGTCGAGGTCCCGACCAAGCTCCTGGAATTCAGTCCTACGTCATCATGGCATTAAATGCTTGGTACGACCCAACGGTCGGGCGCCTGTACGTGGCAGCTCCAAGGCCTGCCTGTGGAGGCGCCTAGCAGGGACCACGCCCACCAGGTGGCAGCTTCTCGGCTTTCCTCCCCCGTACTAATTTATCCCCATACTCCTCTTTGTCGTCCTGCGCCCGTTCTCCCCAGGGTGGGCCTAATTCTTTTGTTTGGGTCAATGTACTCATGCCTTCCCATGGGCTTGGGCTTAAACAGGCTCATGTCCCCCTAAGGTTTGTCTATGTTGACCCAACAGTATCTATTATTCTTCTTCTTTGTAAGACAAGAGTGAAGATATTATTATAAAGAAAGCAAAACAATAAACAGTAATTATTTTGCAATTTTCACATCTAGCTCCAACAAGCAGGCTAGCACTAGTTTATGAACGATTTAATAGTGGTTAATCACCGGTCATTCGATTAAAGTTGAACCTCTTGCTAATCTGAAATGATGTCCTATTCGATTTTGACAACACTACATTTAATAGAAATTCTAATATAAGAGTATGTTATATTTCAATAGATGAGGGGTATGAAATTGCAATAACATAATAGAGGGGTATGTTTGTTAACTTGTAAAAGTAAATGGGTTTATCAAACAAGCAGGAACCCAATACGGATACCTTGCCATTAGTGAACGTCGAGGTGGGAATAACTGATGAGGCATTCAGAGATCCAGAAGGTTGTTGCCTATTGTCGATGAGAGAGAGAGAGAGAGAGAGAGAGAGAGAGAGAGAGCTAATTAATGGTTGGAACCTACTCATGCACTTTACATCTACTTATTGGATAGACAGTCGAAGAGCTCTTTCAGTCAGAAGTGTCACAGATTCGAATCCGGAGAGGACGAAGAAGAACAGTAACGAGGGAGGAATAAGAACAGGAATTGATGGCGGAATAAAAGAGAAGGGGATTCACTATGAATGGCAATTAGCGGCTAGTGGAAAGCAAAGTAGTAGTTGCGGAGACTCCTTCAGGGATAGAAAATCACTTTTTAGAGGGGTGGAGGAAGGGATTAACATCTGGGTCAGGCTTGTGGCCTACAGTGACTAGTGAGGGAGAAGGGCTTTGATTGCTGGATTGTGTGTCTATCACTCACATATTTGATACATTTTCACCACTCTATCAATGCATCTTTAGTATATTATGTTGTATTCTAGGTAGAATCATAAATATGCGATCAATGTGCTTATAATAAACCTATGATATGTTTTATATCATTTTATACCTTTTTGTATTCTTTCATGCTTTTTAAGGTCAAACATATTCTAGGATGACTTGGATCAGAAATTGGAGCCTCAATGAAGTCGTTATAAAAGCCCATGAGGAGTCCATTAGAGAAATTTCAACACAAACACATGAAGGAACCCACATCAACCATGTGATGGTGCCAACTATCACTGGGCCAAACTCATCATGTTCTGTTGGATATCAATGAAG